TTTTGGAATTTTTTTGGAGGTTTCATCATGTAGGCATGGTCACTTATGAAATCCATTTCCAGTCCCTCCCTCCTCTCCAAAGAACTGAGGTGGGAGGTGGAGCTGAAAGTTCCAAGTTTCTAGTCATAGCTTGGTCTTTCTAGTGACCAGCTCCCAGCTAGGAACCTGCCAAAAGTTGCCTCAGTAGAACAAAAGACACTTCTGTCACCCAGAAAATTCCAAGGGATTTAGGAGCTCTGTGTCAGATACTCCTATCACTCAGGAAATTAACAGAGGTCTTGGGGGTTCTGTATCAGGAATTGGGGTCAAAGATGAAATGTTAGAACAAAATATTCTCCTAGCAATCCTGTTTACAAGGGTTTTAGGAGCACTGTTTCAGAAACCAAGAGGTAGAGACCAATATATATTCCTTATTTCACACCTATCTATGAATCTCTCTGTTCATCCATCAACCCATCTTTATGTTGCTATATTTCAAAGAAAGTTACAGACATCAGTTTATTTTACTACTAAACATCTCAGCATAAATGTCATTAATTAAAGTTCAGTAGTTTTTTTTTCTTTTCTTTGAGGTAAAAGTTTTATACAGTGAAATGTCAAATCTTAAATGTGCCATTTGATGAATTTTGACATTTACATTCACCTATGAACCCAAACCTTTATTGAGAGAGAAAATATTACCATACTCCTAAAAAGTTCCCTCATGCCTCTTCCCAGTTATTTTCCACTCCCACTCTCTGGAAATCACTACTATTTTGATATTTTTCACCATAGATAAGTTTTGCCTCTTTAATATTTAATAATAAGTATGATGTTAGCTGTAGGTTTTTGTAGCTGCTCCTTATCATATTGCAGAATCTATTCCCAATTTGCTGAGAGTTTTGTGAGGAATAGATGCTTGGTCATGATATATTATTATTTTTATATATTGCTGGCTTCAACTTACTAATACTATGTTAAGGAAATTTAATATCGGTCTATAATTTTCTTGTAATGTCTTTGGTTTTGGTCATAAAATAAGTTAAGTAGTATTCTCTCCTGTTCTGTTTTCTGAAAGAGATTGTGTAACATTAAGGTTTTTTTCTTCCTTAAATGTTTGACAGAACTTAAGAGTAAAACTATCTGGGCCTGTAGTTTCCTTTGTGGGAAGATTCTGATAATAAATTAAATATTTTTAAAGGTGTGGGCTATTCAGATTTCTGTTTGAGTTTTGGTAACTTGTATTTTTTAAGGAATTTGTTCTTTTACTCTAAGTTATAGAATTTATTGGCATGAAGTTATTTATAATATTCCCCTGTAATCCTTTAATATCTGAAGATCTTTAGGAATGTTTTATCTTTCATTGCTTAAACTTTCATTTTATCTTTCATTTCCTTCCTTCCTTCCTTCCTTCCTTCCTTCCTTCCTTCCTTCCTTCCTTCCTTCCTTCCTTCCTTCCTTCCTTCCTTCCTTCCTTCCTTTTTCTTTGATCCTTCCAAAGCTAGAGGATTATCAATTTTATTAATTTTTTTTCAAAGAACTAACTTCTGGCTCAAAAATTTTCCTCTTTTATCTGTCTTATATATCTGCTCTTTTTCTGACTTCTACTTATTTTTGGTTTTCTTTGTAATTTTTCTAGTTTTGTTTTTATTTCATTTTTTGTTCAGACACAGCAGGAGGGAGAGAGGGGAGAGAGAGAGAGAAAGAGAGAAAGAAACATTGACAGGAAAGGGACACATTGAGTGGCCGCCACCTGCACGACCCAATCAGGGCCGGGGACAAACTGCAACTGAGGTACATGCCCTTAGCGGGAACCAAATCCAGGTCTCTCTGAACTGCAGGCTGACGCTCTAACTGCTGAGCCAAACTGGCCAGGGTTCTTTTTCTAGTTTTTTAAGGTTGAAAATGAGATCACAAATTTTTGTACCTTCTTTCCTACTGTAAGCATTTAAAGCTTTAAATGTCCTTCTAAATACTGCTTTTACTGCATCCTACAGATATGGATACATTTCATTTTTATTATCATTCAGTTTGAAATACTTTTCATTTTTTGTATGATTACAAAAAATTATTAGAAATTGTTTACTTTTTAAATATTTGAGGATTGTCCAGGTATCTTTCTGTTATTGATTTCTAATTTAATTCTGTTGTGGTCAAAGGATACACTTTGTTTTTTAATCCTCACCCAAGGATATTTTTTTCATTGATTTTTAGAGAGAGTGAAGAGAGGGATGGGGGAGAGAGACAAACATCAAAGTTAGAGAGACACATCAATTAGTTGCTTCCCACATGTGCCATAGGGTCTGGGGATGGAACCTGCAACCCAGATACGTGCCCTTGACTGAGACTCAAACTCAAGACTTTTTGATGATTGAGCCAATGCTCTAACCACTGAACTACACCAGCCAGGGCACGATACATTTTCTGTGAATTTTATCTTTTTATACTATTGAGAAACAGTTTATTGTCTAGTTTATGGTCTTGGTGAATAACCCTTATGCACTTGAATGTTTGTTCTTTTTTGTATGCAATGTTCTATAAATGTCAGTTAGATGAAGGTTTGGTAATATATAGGACATCTCTGTCTTTACTAATTTTTTTGTCTAGTTGAGCTATCATTTTCTGAAAGAGGTATTGAAATCTTCACAACTATGATTGTGGAGTTGTCTATTTCTCCCTTTAATTCTGTCAAATTTTATTTCTTATATTTGAATATAAGGTAAATACACAGTTATAATTGTCATATTTTATGATAAATTGACCTTTTAATCTTCATGAAATATCTCTCTGGTAATACACTTTGTATTGAATTCTACTTTATATGTTAATAGAGATGTCATAGCCTTCTTATTTTCTTGTCTGTTTGCTGTCTTTTCTCATCCTTTTATTTTCAATCTATGTATTATAGATAACTATATACACATATATATACATATATATATATATACACACACACACACACACACACATATATATATTTTTATCCTCACCCGAGGACATTTTTGCATTTATCTTCAGCTAGAGTGGGAGGAAGAGAGAGAGAGAAACATCGATGTGAGAGAGACACATCGACTGGTTGCCACCCACACAACTCCAACTGGGGCTGGGGACAAACTGCAACCGAGGTACGTGCCCTTAGTGGAACTGAAACCGGGACTTTCTGGTCTGACCACTGAGCCAAACTGACCAGGACTATGTCTTTATATTTAAAATGTACTTCTTATAGATAGCATACAGTTTTGCTATTTTACCCTGACAGTCTCTGTCTTTTCATTGGAATGATTAGTCAATTTTCACTTAATATAAATAGTTAGATTTAAGATTACCATTTTACTAATTGTTCCTTGTGAGCTTCATCTGTTTTTGTTTCTTTGTCTGCATTATTTTGTAGTGGATAATATAGGGATTAAAATATACATCTTTAATGTTCCACAGTCTTTTTAGAGTTAATATTGTAATATTTCATATAAAATGTATGAACACTGAACATATTTCCCTTATCCTGTGTGATAGCTCTCACATATGTACATTATAAACCCCAAAATATAATGTTATAATTATAGACCAATATTACTTATCAATTGCTTTAAACATCCATGTGCATTTTAAGGAAATTTATAGACAAAAACCTCTATTAACTATATATTTTTATTTTTTGGTGCCCTTTATTTTTTCCTCTAGGCTTTCTATTTAATACTATAAGAGAAACTCCTATAACATTTTATGGCTGTGGTTCTTGACTGGGGTGATTTGCCTCTTAGGGGTCACTTGGCAGTTTCTGGAAACAATATAGTTGTTAAAATTGGGAAGGGGGTACTATTGGCATTTGGTAGAATGTTCAGAACAATAATGAATTATCTAGGCCAAAATGTTATTGCCAAAATTGAGAAACCCTCATTTAGGGTTTTGAAAAAAGTGAAGTAGTTTTTCACACGTAACATTTAGGGTTGTTTTTTTTTTTTACATAAATCATATTATTTATTAGAATTTAATAAATCTCTATAACCTATACCATCATCTCTGGCTAAGAGAGAAAAAGAATATTTATCTGGACGAATGATTTTCTTGGAGCACTTTGTAGATTGTTAGTTGAACTACTGTAAATAGCTTTTGGCAACTAAGGAGAAAAGATATATACTTTTTAAAAAAAATCCTCAACCGAGGATGTTTTTCTGTTTATCATCAGATAGAGTGGGAAGGAGGGAGAGAGAGGGAGAGCGAGAAACATCGATGTGAGAGGTTGCCTCCCTTGCGACCTGGCCAGGGCTGGGGACGAACTGTAACCAAGGTACATGCTCTTGACCAGAATCGAACCCGTGACTCATTGGTCTGCAGGCCAACACTCTGACCACTAAGCAAAACCAGCCAGAGCGATGCTTTTGAACTGTTTCTATGTAATCATGCAAGTTGGGTTAATGGAAGTATCTTGAGCTAGAAATAAAGCTATTTTCCCCTCTTCTCTGCAGAAAAATAGCTTGCAGCGGCATATTTTATGAGCTAATAATGGGGGTACCCCCATTACAGCCTTTTTATTTGAAGAAGGCAGGAATAGTTTTAAATATTTTATTTCTTTTTATTTTTTTGCAAGATTTGGGGGTAGAAATTTGATTAAGCCCTCAGATTCTTGAATTCACCAAAGAATACAGGTTGTTTTAATGGTGAGATTATCTTGTCTCATATAATCAAAATATTTTGTTATTGCTGTTAATCCTCACCTGAGGATATTTTTTCCATTGATTTTTTTTGAGAATGGAAGGTGGGGGGTGGGCAGAGAAACATCTATGCAAGGGAGGCACATTGCTTGGTTGCCTCCTGCAACTCAGGTCCGTGCCTTTGGGAATCAAACCTACGATCCTTCAGTGCAAGGGTCAACGCTCTAACCACTTAACCACACTAGTCAGGGCTAACCAAAATATTTTTTAAAGAAACAGCCTAGAATTTGAGTTTTTATTTGAAGGCTAAGCACAAAACATTATTAATATGCCAGATATAAACAGATACCATTTCCTTTTGTATAATAGGTTGGACAGCACTTCATGAAGCTAGTGTAAGGGGATTTTATGAGACAGCAAGTGAACTAGTAAAAGGTGGAGCAGATGTCAATATCAAAGGAATGTACCAGATCACTCCCCTACATGATGCTGTGATGAATGGACATTATAAGGTACTGTGATGCTTTTGTTTGCAGAGCAAATACTACATTCTGCAAGTACTAAAAGACTCTGGGAGATTTTTCGAAAGATGGTGGCGGGCAGGACTGGAGGGAGGTGAGTGTGTGAGAGAGTGAATTAGCGTGTGAGAGAGTGTGAGTGGACATGAAGGTGGACAACCAAACTCGAGCAGTGCAGAGATGTGGAGCAGAAGGTTCCTGTGCTGTGGGTGGGGAGCAGCCAGCAGTAATCAGCTCTCCAGGGGGCTTCTTCCTGCACCTCAGGGAGGTCCTACCATTTTGGAAGATCCCGGGTCTTCCCTGGGAGGAGGCAGTGGGAGTGGCTAGGGCCCAGCAACCTGAGCCCACCAGTGTACCTGGCACCATCAGACCAGTGGACACCCTGTGTCAACATAGACCAGTGCATAGTAGTGGAGCTGCCAAGGTGCCGGTTGCAGAAGCTGCAGATGGCTAGGAGCCCAGTACCATCCCCCACAGCAGCCTGATCAGAGTTGAGATATACCCCCAGCAACAGAGGCTGGGGAGCAGACATCCATCCCCAGGCAACAGAAGCATAGACCAGCAGCTGAGACCCATCCCCAAAACCTACAGCAAAGGCTGAGCAGGAGTTGAGCCCCATGGGGCAGCAGCACTCCCTAGCCACCAGCAGCGGTGGGGCTTCAGAGAGGCCTTTGTGACCCAGCAGCACATAAGAGCAGGGAGAAGCTGGAGCCAGAGAGGGATTGGTGCGATCCAGCTGCCCACCGTGGGACCTGCAGGGTGCGGGGGCACAAGAGAGGCCTGTGCCACCCAGCTGCGCACAAGATAGGCATAGAGCCAGGTCTCCAAAGGGACAATGCGACCCAGCTGCCCACTGTATGGCTCCAACAGGGCCTGAGCTATACAGCTACAGGAGGCACCAGCGACTAGCTGGGAACACAGCTCCAGAGGGGCCCACGTGATCCAGTAGCAGCACCTACCAGGACACACCTATACCAACTCCCAGTAGTCAATCCTTCAGGATCTACAGCAGGCAAGAGGCAACACACAACAAAACAGTCTGGGAGGCACAGTAGCCTTATTTGATATACAGTGAGCTGCATACACATCCAAACATCCCTCAGTGGGTCTAGAGTTACCAGACAGCTAAATGGGGAGACAAAGAAACAACACCCAAAGGAAAGAAAAAGAGGAATCACCAGAAAAGGAACTGCAGGAAATGGAAGACAGCAACTTGTCAGATAAAAAATTCAAAGGAATGATTTTAAGGGTGCTCAAACAATTAGGTGAGAAGTACAAGTAACTTAATAAGAATGATGAAGAGCTCACTGGGAACTACTTCAGCTTAAAAAAAGAGGTGGAAGCTATGCATAAAAATCAAGAGGAAAAAAAGAATGACATAGCTGTTATGGAAAATACCTTAGAAGGGTTTAATAGAAGAAGCTGAAGACCGAATCAGCGAATTAGAAGACAAGGTAGAGAAAAACACTCAAATGGAGCAGCAAATGGAAAAAAAAATTAAAAAGCAGCAAGAAAGTTTAAGGGAGCTGTAGGACAGTACAAAACATAACAACGTTTGCATTACAGGGATACTGGAAGGAGAAGAATGAGAGAAAGGAATAAAGAACCTGTTTGAAGAAATAATGACAGAAAACTTTCCTAAACTGGTGAAGGAAAAAGTTACACAAGTCTAGGAAACACAGAGAGCCCCAAGCAAGAGGAACCCCAGAAGACCCACAGCTAGACACATCATAATAAAAATGGCAAACATTAAAGACAAAGAAAGAATCTTAAAGGAAGCAAGAGAGAGACAGAAAGTTACCTACAAGGGAGCTCCCATTAGACTGTCAGCTGATTTCTCAATAGAAATGATGCAGGCCAGAAGGGAGTGGCATGAAGTGTACAAAGTAATGCAAGGCAAGGGTCTGAATCCAAGACTACTCTATCCAGCAAGGCTATCATTCAAAAATGAAGGAGAAATAAAGAGCTTCATGGATAAAAAAAAAAAAAAAAAAAAAAAAGCTAAAGGAATTTACCACCACCAAACCAGCACTGTAAGACATGCTGAAGGGACTGTTTTAAGAAGAAGAAGAAAGAGAGAGAGAGAGAGAAAGAGAGAGAGGGAGGGAGGCATAAAATTAAAATGGCAACTAATAGCTATGTATCAATAATTACCTTAAATGTAAATGGCTTAAATGCTGATTGGATAAGAAAACAGGACCTGTATATATGCTGTCTACAAGAGACCCACCTCACAACAAAAGACTCACACAGGATGAAAGTGAAGGGATGGAAAATTTTCCAAGCAAATGGAAATGAAAAAAAAAAAAAAAAAGCTGGTGTAGCAATATGCATATCTGACAAGATAGATTTCGAAACAAGGGCCATATTAAGAGACAGAGAAGGTCACTACATAATATTAAAGGGAGCAATCCAACAAGAGGATATAACCCTGGTAAACAAATACGCACCAAATACGGGAGCACCAAAATATATTTAAAAACTTCTGAAGGACTTCAAGGGAGAGATCAATAGCAACACGATCATAGTGGGTGACTTTAACACACCACTGACACCACTGGATAGATCTTCTAGACAAAAAATTAACAAGGATATAGAGTCCTTACAAGACAAATTAGATCAGTTGGACTTAATTGATATTTACAGAACATTTCACCCCAAAGCTGCAGAATATACATTCTTCTCAAGTGCACATGGGTCATTCTCAAAGATAGACCACATGTTAGGACACAAAGCAAGCCTCTACAAATTCAAGAAAACTGAAATCATATCAAGCATCTTCTCAGATCACAGTGGCATGAAACTAGAACACAATTACAATAAAAACACACAAAAACATTCAAACACTTGGAGACTAAATAGCATGTTATTAAAAAAAGAATGGGTTACTAACAAGATCAAGGAAGAAATTAAAAACTTCCTGGAAACCAATGAAAATGAACAAACAACAACACAAACTCTATGGGACACAGTGAAAGCAGTCTTGAAGGGAAGTTCATAGCACTACAGGCTTACCTCAAGAAACAAGAAAAATTCTTAATTGACTTTCTAACCCTACAACTTAAAGAACTATAAAGTAAACAAAAAGAAAAACCCAGAACTATTAGGAGGAAGGAAATAGTAAAGATCAGAGCAGAAATAAACAACATAGAGACTAAAAAAACAGTTCAAAAGATCAATGAAACAAAAAGCTGGTTCTTTGAAAAGATAAACAAGATCATTGGATCTTTAGCAGACTCATCAAGAAACAAAAAGAGAGAAACCAAACAAACAAAATCAGAAATGAAAGAGAAGAAGTAACAACTGACACCACAGAAATGCAAAGGATCATTGAAACATACTATGAATAATTATACACCAACAAATTGGACAATCTAGGAGAAATGGACAAATTTCTAGAAACACACAGCCTCCCAAAACGAAACCAGGAAGAGAGAGAAAACTTGAACAGACCAATAACAACAAAGGAAATTGAAGATGCAATCAAGAAACTCCCAGCAAACAAAAGCACAGGCCCAGATGGCTTCACAGGGGAGTTTTACTGAACATTCAAAGAAGATCTAATACCCATTCTACTCAAAATATTCCAAAAAATCCAAGAAGATGGAACACTTCCAAACTCATTTTATGAGGCCAGCATAATCCTAATTCCAAAACCAGATAAAGACACTACAAAGAAAGAAAACTACAGGCCAATATCCCTGATGAACACAGATGCCAAAATCCTTAACAAAATCTCAGCAAATCGGATCCAGCAATACATCAAAAAAATTATTCATCATGACCAAGTGGGATACATCCCAGGGAAGCAAGGATGGCACAATATTCACGAATCAATAAATGTGACAACACCACATAAACAAAAGGAAAGATAATCTGCATCAATAAATGTGACAACACCACATAAACAAAAGGAAAGATAATCTGCCCTGGCCGTTTTGGCTCAGCGGTTAGAGCGTCAACCTGTAGTCCTGAGAGACCTGGGTTCGGTTCCCGCTGGGGGCACGTACCTCGGTTGCAGTTTGTCCCCGGCCCTGGTAGGTCGTGCGGGTGGCAGCCACTCGATGTGTTCTTTTCACATCGATGTTTCTCTCTCTCTATCTGTTCCTCTTTCTCCCTCCCACTCTACTTGAACAAAAAATGGAAAAATGTCCTCGGGTGAGGATAAAAAACAAAAACAAGAAACAAAAAAAAATCATATGATCATATCATTAGATGCTGAAAAAGCATTTGATAAAAGCCAGCACCCACCCTGGCCAGTTTGGCTCAGTGGTTAGAGCGTCGGCCTGCGGTCCAGAGAGACCCGAGTTTGATTCCTGCTAAGGGCACGTACTTCGGTTGCAGTTTGTCCCCGGCCCTGGTTGGTCGTGTGGGTGGCAGCCGCTCGATGTGTCCCTTCACATCGATGTTTCTCTCTCTCTCTCCCTTCCTCTCTCTTCCTTCTACTCTATCTGTACATAAAATGGAAAAATATACTCGGGTGAGGATAAAAAAAAAAAAAAAAAAAAAGCCAGCACCCATTTTTGATAAAAACGCTCAGCAATGTGCGAATAGAGGGATCATATCTCAACATAATAAAGGCCATATATGAAAAACCTACAGCCACCATCATACTCTATGGGCAAAAATTAAAAACATTTCCCTTAAGAACAGGAACAAGACAAGAATGCCCACTTTTGCCTCTCTTATTTAACGTAGTACTAGAAGTCTTAGCCACGGCAATTAGACATGAAGAAAAAATAAAGGGGATCCAAATTGGAAAGGAGGAAGTGAAACTATCATTATTTGCAGATGACATGATATTGTACATAGAAAACCTTAAAGACTCCATCAAAAATCTGTTAGACTTAGTAAATGAATTTGGCAAAGTAGCAGGATACAAATTTAATGTCATGAAATCAATGGTATTCTTATACACCAATGATGAAATCACAGAAAGAGAAACTAAAAAGACAATCCCATTTACCATCACAGCAAAAATTAAGATACTAGGA